TGCATCAGAAAGAATGAATCATTAGCTCTTTAGAGCAGTGCCCAATATAGTATTTATAGAAAAGAGAAAGAGAATTACTTATTTTCTGATCATTATCACATTATGACAATGTGATAATGGTTGGAAGTTGGCTGAAACAATGCCACCTTAAATGTAAGAATATCTGGAATATTGTCAACGTAAATTAAAAAAAATATAGGGCTAAGGATAGAACCTTGAGGAACACCTGAAGTTAGAGGATATGAAGAAGAGTGCTGTCAAGGACAACTTTTATACAATAATTGGTAAGAAAGGATTCAATAATCTTAAAGATGTTACCTGATACATTGTAAGAAAAAACCTTATGGAGAAGACCAGCATGCCAAATTTTACCAAAAGCTTTAGAAATGTCAAGAGCCTTAACCTATTCACCTCTACCTAATAAACGATAAAACCTGTTTTTACTGTTAGCAAATCGGCTGTAGAACAAAAAGATTAAAACCCTGGTTGATGATCAGAAAATAAGTAATTAGATTCAATATGAGAGATAAAGTAATTGTTAATTAAAGACTCAAAAACCTTGCTTATGATTAGAAGATAAGAAGACTAATTGGACAATAGTTAGATAAGTCAGATCGCTCTCCAGAATTTATGAAAATAGGGATAACAGAAGTGCTTATCAGAGTCTTGTTTTCCAGCAGGCTGGAAAACAAGACTATGATAAGCACTTGTTATATAGCTTTGAAATTATAGACAACAGCTCTGGGAAACACTTCTACTAGACTACAACAGGTTGTCTGGACAGTAGGGATAGCAGCAGGTTGTCTGGACAGTAGGGATAGCAACAGGTTGTCTGCCAAGTAGGGATAACAGAAGTGCTTATCAGAGTCTTGTTTTCCAGCAGGTTGGAAAATAAGACTATGATAAGCACTTGTTATAAAGCTTTGAAATTATAGACAACAGCTCTGGGAAACACTTCTACTAGACTACAACAGGTTGTCTGGACCACAAGTTGTAAAAAAAAGTCTAAGCAGGAAATCACTTTAGACACAGAAGCTAGAGTAATACGAATGTCAAGCAACGAATCAACATGTTTGTTGGCTTTATCAGGTAGAACGCAACTAGTGGAATCAAGAGATGATATTGATAAAAAGTTCTTAGCAAACAATTCAGCTTTGACCTTATTTGAGGTGATAAAATCTGAACTATATAAGAGAAGTGGAATAACAGACTTGTCCTTATTATTGATACTATTAAAGATTCTCCAGAAGTCACAAGAGCCTAATTTTTGAGATGAAATAGAAGATTACATGGCCTGAGAATAGCTTCTAGCAATAGTAAACAGACGTCTGTTTTCTTGATAAAATGTTTTGCTGATAGATATGGAAGTAATGGTTTTGATTGAAAATTGCAGCAGCACAATGTGAGGAAAACCATGGAGAAGAGCGAGGCATGATCATGGAGAAAAGTGAGGCATGAATCCAGAGACGGAATAAAAGATTCCAAGCCAGCCTGAATCCAAAAAGTTAAGTAAGAAGCACATTTGTCAGCAGGAAGACAAAAGATTTCTACCTAAGAGCCATCACAAAGAAAATTACGGAAAAAGTCCCAGTCAGCTTTAAGGTAGTTGTAAAAGGCACAATGATAGGGGGTTCTGATAAAGAAGAATGATGTAATAGTTTTAGAGAGATCAAACAATGATCACAAGCACCTAATGTGGAGAAACGGAGCACTGACTAGGATAAGTCGGCAAATGCTAACTAGGCAGTTAGCAAATTTCAAAAAACGAGGGCTTTTTTTTTTCTGTATATATATATATATATATACATATGTATGTATATATATATATATATATATATATATATATATATATATATATATATATATATATATATATATATATATATATATATATATATATATATATATATGTATATATATATATATATATATATATATATATATATATATATATATATATACGTATATATATATATACATATATATATATATATATGCATATATATATATATATATATATATATATATATATATATATATATATATTCAATGGCTGATGATTGCCATATAGGCATGAAACTTAAAGTACCATATGGGTAATTCAACAATGGGTATTCAATGGCTGATGATTGCCATATAGGCATGAAACTTAAAGTACCATATGGGTAATTCAACAATGGGTATTCAATGGCTGATGATTGCCGTATAGGAAATAATCTACCTCTTAACCTTGGAAATCAAAAAAGAATTAAAGCCTTGAGAAAAAGGAAGAGAATTAAAGTGAACACTTAAAAAAATTGTAAGTTGTATGAGTCAGTATAATATGAAAATAAAAAAGAATTACAAATCACAGATGTTTGAAGAAAAAACAAAATAAATATTGTTTTACCTTATGAAAACCTATTTAAAAAAAAAAAAAAAAAAACACAAATTTAAATATGATTATTTATATATAATATAACTCTCCCTAGTATTTCACATTTTTTCTAATAAAAATGTAAACAATTAACCAAAATAATGTTACATTTATTACAAAATGACAGCTGTAACGCCAACATCGATTTGCCGCTAGTTTTCACTTACTTGCTTTATTCCCTCACTAATATAAAGAGTATTATTTCATAAACAAGCAATAACTATAACATTTAATAAACAATATTTGTATGTTTCTTTTATAAAAACTTAAAAAGATTAATTACATAGAGTATTTATTGCATAACAAGGTCAATTCATTCAAAAAATTAATATATATTTTTTCTTGTTCTACTCTTACTTTTCAAATCAAGTTTTTTTGCGTGATTATTATTATGTTATTATCCGCCAGGGTTGCTTTTTAAAAACTTCTTTTTGTTTTATTATTTAAAATATTTTATAAATAATGCAATTTTACTGTTATTTGAAATGAAAAAATTTAAAGTTAGCATTGGCATTACCACATTGGTAGTTAGCAGAAAAGTGATTTTTTTTCGATTATGCAATAAAAAGCGATAAAAAATTGCATTGAATTGCACTCAATTTTTCGATAAAAAGTAACTCACAATATAATGTCCAGTCATTCACTCAAAAATGACAGCATCACGGTTACCTAACTAAATATCACATTTGTAACTAAGCGCCCCTGATTTCTTGTCTAACTATTGAAATTTACCGCATTCCCAAAATTAATTGAATTGTGATAATGCCGGTGCTTTAAGTTTAAAGCTCATATAGTTTAATCGCTTTGAAAATTATATTAAGTAAACGTAAGCGGAGGAGAAACTGAAATTAGAGTTTAAAATGTTAACGTTTTTATTTAAAAATGCTAAGCGTTTCATATTTTAATTCAATCAAAGCGTACTTTTTACATTATAATCCAATTGTAACATATTCCATATTTCATCCAAATGAATTTGAATAAAGCATTCTGATTGACTGAAAACACATTTGTAATGTGTTTTAAAAGTCATTTTTCAAATGTTGGTTTTCCTAAGCGACATTAATAACATAAAAAATTTTATTATCATAATTTTCATAACAAATTTTATCACAAAACAGTGAGACAATAATTAACAAAAAGTTATTTCAATTTATTTATTTAGGTACTAATATAAATTTGTTTGGGTGCTAATATAAAATTGTTAGGTCAAGGTTGGCAATTATTTTACTTAAATATAAAAAATTTTTATCCGTTAAAAAAAAAAATTTTCCTTTATTCAGGAAATACTCCATTTCTTTAATAAAGATAAAAAGATTATAAAAATAAAAATATTAAGAATATCTTGACAAACGCATTGCTAAATATCATAACTCTCTGTAAAGACTAAAAAGTAGAAAATAAAATATAGCAAAAACATTAGCTCAAAAATATAACCTTTTTTGTCTAAAAAATACAAAATAAATTTTATAGTTTAAATTTTAATAGTTCAGTTAACTAAAGATGACAGGTATGTTTCTATATAAACCTTGTGCTGACCTGTCAATCTTTAGTTTACTGAACTATTAAATTTAAATTAAAAAGTTTATTTTCTACTTTTTAGTACAAAAAAGATTATATTTTTGAGCAAAAGTTTTTGATATATTTTATTCTATATTATGAAGCTTACTTCAGCTTTTTACCAGTATTTTAAAATTGAAATAAATTAAAACACCGGAGCATGCTAAACTTCAAAATTTATAAAAATAACAGCAAACAGTTAATTATTACTAACTGTTTGTTGTTATTTTTATAAATTTTGTTTTATTATTAGACTTAATTAATATTAAGTCTAATAATAAAAAAACATCAGGCCTACAATAATATTTATATGCATATTTCAATATTCAAATTTTTAATATTTGGTCCCATTTGTCTCGTGTTCTTAACATTTGAAAATTTTAATAGCAAAAGAATTTTCTTGAAAAACTTTGAAAAAGCATTTTTTTTTCATATATATTACATATTATTACATATATATTATTATGACTTTTTCAAAAAAAATTAAATACTTCAAATAAAAAATCATCTTTAAATTTAAGATTTGATCTTGATTTTGCTTTGTTTTTTTAAACAATTAAATCCTTAAATTTCTTAAACTTTTTATCAATACAGTCTTTTTCTTCTTGCAACTTTCTCTTTTTTATTTTGATGAATCTTTGTAATGTGAATAAAGCATGTTTACACTTTTGATTATTGATTTTGTTATTTCCACATTGCAAAGGCCATCAATGTTGAGAATTCTATCATAAACTTGTCTTTGCGCAACCACAGAGCTCTTGTGCATATTTTCTATAAAAGCATCTGAATTGATAGAAAACATTTTCAAACTGTGCATTACTATGTGACAAAGACAAATTTGTACACTTCAAATAAGTCATTGAAATTCTTAAAAGAACAGGTTTAAAAAAAAACATCTAACCTATCCTTATAAACGCTATAATTGTTAAATTCTTATCTATGGATGCTTTTCTCAAGAATGCATAAATCGTGATACTAATTATTGACCTATGAGCTATTCTAGCATTAATTCTTTTTGATTCATGAAGTATTGTGAGTAAATCAGTCATTAATTTCATTAGTCGAAATTAGAACATATAATAATGGGTTTAAAGCTGAGATAGCTCTTGTAAGTTTATATTTTAAAGTCTGACTGAAAAGTCTTAATAATGGCTCTGCAATTAAAACCAAATATTCAAGAAGGAGCAATTTTAGCATGCATTAGAAGATTATTGTCAGCATCAGTAACAATGCTTACAGTATAATTATTAGGTAGTTTAGACTGCATGACATAAAACTTCACATTATTATGAATATCTATTTAGATACAGATATAGTTACATTACATTTTAAAACCATCTTGTTAAACAAAAGTTCAGAGGAATTTATCACTTCTGAAATTTATTTGATAATTTACCCTACGAACAAGACTGTCATGAAAAAATTTATAAAAACTTCAAAATACTGGAAGTATTTCAAGTAGGTCATAAAAAGGTGAAATTTTTATGACCAACTGGAAATACACCATGTACAACATGTAGGCCACATGACCTCATTTCAAAAAAAGATGTTATCATAACTTTTTTGAAGATTTAGGAAAAGATGTTTCAAACTTTTTATCAAATTCATAATTTAGATTATCAAAAACCTTCCAATTCACATTGGTCCATCCATAGAAGTTTGTAAAACTTTAGCTCCAAGATTTTCTTTTAAAGCACTTGTTAAATCTTTGCACAAATCAAAATCTTGTATCACATGGTTGCAACATCCCAACAACAAATGCAAATATCTATTTGAACAACTTCATTCAAAGATTCATCAAAACATACAATTACGAGTGTAGAGCTAATGGAAATATGGGAAAAATACAATGTGTGATATTATAGGCTACTTTAGTTTTCTCAATACTCATTTTTTTAGCTATAAAACTGTCAGAAAACATAGGCTGAAACAGTTATCTTATTTTTGAAAATGATTTGTAAGAAAAATGCTTCTGACTAATGATTAGTGTCCAAAGTATTTCAGAACATGTTATGTCATTTTGAGCCATAAACAAAGAGAAAGTTGGTACTGTTGTGCTGGAAGAATATGTTGAAATTATTTGTTGAGAAGATCAGGCTTTAAGTTGATTATTATACTATTAAAGTTGAAACTATTGGTTGAGAAGATTGAATTGAGAATACTGTTGTGCTAGAAGAATTTGTTGAAACTATTGGTTGAGAAGATTGGGCTTTAAGTTGATTATTATACTATTAAAGATTACTATTATACTATATTATAAACAAAAGAACTTTAAGTAATAATAACAATCATATTTTATTATTCTGTATAGTTTTACAAGTGTATATCAAAATAAATAGAGATTTTTCATTTGATTGATACTTGTGTGTGTTTTCTGGAAGTTGTAAAAAAATTTAAAAAAGTAAAAAAAAAAAATTTTGAAAAAAAGATTTTTTTGGAAAAATCTTTTTGAAAATTCTCTGACTTTTTTACAACTGACAGAAAATCATTTCTGATGAGTCATTAATAATGAAACTCAGTGTAAAATAAATAAAATATTATATATATATATATATATATATATATATATATATATATATATATATATATATATATATATATTACTTTATATGTTTTAATAAAAAAGAAATACCTTCATCTTTTTTATTCAGTTCATACTTTGAGTGACTTTTTTTTTGGGGTCCAGCATTTTTAAACAGAAAGATTATCAAAAGATTACAAGGAACTACAATTATTGCAGTGGCCACCGATGTTTTCATTTCGTTTATTGAAAGTGTCATGGGACCTAAAGAAATTGACGGAGAAGGGGGTCCTGTGGCTAAAAAAAAAAGTTGGACAAAATTAAAATATCTACTATATTCACTGAAAAAATAGTTTGTGAATATAAAAATAATAATAATAACTGTGTTTTAAAGCTGAGTTGAACAAAAGAATATACTTAAGTATGGCAAGAGAACTTTAACTTTATATAATTAAATATAAAGTCAAAATAATAAATAAAAGATAAGATTAATAAGATATTAACTTAAAAATATAAAATAAGATTATAATTTATACTGTTAAATAAGATTACGCCTAAATTATTGACATTTAATTATTAATGTACTTTAACAATTTTCAAAAGTCATCATAAAGGTAATAAAAGGTAATCATCATCATTAATGAAAAAAATAATCAACAATTTAATGTCAAATTTTTTTAGTATTTAAAAAAATGCTTTTATAACTGGTTTTACAACTTTTTATTTTTTTGTTCTAGTTAATTTCTGAAACTATCAAGTAAATTAGGATTTTCATTTTAAAAATCAAAGTTAATAATTGGATTATTAACTTCAGTTTTAAAAAATGAAACTTCTAATTTACAAGCTATAAATGATTTAAATTAAGAAATGACTTTAGCAATGGAAGCTGGAGTGATTTAAGTAACCTGGAATGGCAGGAGGAGAATCACCATTAGATTTAAGAGTTGAATTAAAAGAAATTTTTTTTAAAAATAATTCTGCTTTATTATTGGGAGCGATCAGACCAATGAATAAGTAATGGAATGTTCAATTTGCCTTTGCTTATGACAATAGAGCCAAACTTATGAGATGATTGATGCAAGATTTAGTAAACTGATGCAAGATTTAGTAAACTGGGAAAGACTTGAATTAAAACCAACAAGAAGGAATTAAAACTTCTACACCTGCATGAATCCAGGAGGTAACATAGGAGGTGCATTTATAAGCATAGAGAGAAAAGACTCCAACCCAAAGACTGTCATGAAGAAAATCACACAAAAAAAAATGCCAGTCATCATTAAGGTAGTGATTATAGGTCCAAAAAAGAAGTCAGCGACGAAATATCATTGTATGGTCGGAGTTACCTTATAGAGAACAGACAAAAACTGAACACAAGCTAAAAGACAAATTAAGAAGTAAAGGTAAATGATTAAGGTCTGGAAAATGAGTTTCAAAGTTAATTATCTGAATTAGAGTTTGAGAAACACAGAAGCTGTGAGTTTTAGTGCCAGCAGGGTCAGTGGTGACATAGCTAAGCTATTCAGTGTAAAGAGCATTAAAGGCATTAATAAAAACAGTATTAGCTGAGGGATAAAGAGAAAGTGCGTGGTCAGAAACTAAATCTAAAAGAGTGCAGTTTTAAAAGGAAGGAGAATGATAAAAAATAAAGAGAAAGGTGACAAAGTGAAATGGTGCCAAGGGAAAGCATATAAAAGAATGGTCAAATAATTAAAACCTGATTTTTCAACAAATTGGTGAATTAATGTATAAGTAAATGCCCAAGTCAAGCATGTGACTATTGGAGTCTTGCAAATCAAAGGATAATAGCTATCAACTAAAAAAAATCTAAAGATCTCAAAAAAAAATTCAAATTTGTCTAACAAAGAGCAAGTAAGTCTGATGAAATATACCTGATGAAGTAAGATACAAAAGATGGAAAGGTAATTCAATGATCATGATTGTTTATAAAAAATATAATGAAACAGTTAGGTGGTAGCAATTGTTTTTTTATGCTTAATATTTTTAGGTAATTTTCATGATTTATTTATGTTAAGGAGAACTTGACTCAATCATGCATCAATCACCTTCATGGTAATGGCACCTTCATGGCAATGAGCTATGCAATTACTTCTAACCTGCTTAACCTAAAGTTGTAATTTAGAGCCTCTTATGTAGCCTTGACAATGCACACCAAAAGCACTAACAGGGATGCCATATATAAAATATGGCACAGTTAATACTTTTTTTTTTTTTTAGAACAAGCCTCACTATATATTTCAATAAATTAATTTTTACAAATCAATAGTTTACGTGTACTTAGTTTAATATTACTGTACACTAATGGCTAATAATGACGTTTTTAAAAAATTGTATTTATAAAATATATTGCTGGCTATTAAACCATACATTTAAATAATGTAATCAAGTCTATCTTACCACTGAGCTACTAGGGGCTTGCTCATGGTCGTTGTTAAAAATATACAACCTGTATAATAAGATATATTAATAGCAAATTTAGTAGTATTGTTAAGCATTGTAAATTTAAAATGCATTATTGTAAAAGATAACTCATATAAGACTCTGACCGAAGTACCTTAAATTAAAGATGTTTATGGTCATCATTGATAGATAATAGCGAGTGATACACATAAATATTTATTACAGATCAAAACAGTTTGAATTATACGAGGTATTTTAGTTTTTTTTTTCAATTTGAAATGATTAATTATTGTTTTGATTTCTATATTGTTGGATATTATTTCATTATAAAGGTAAATTGTGAAAATTTTGTATTTTTTATTGGCAATGTTAATTAATCTGTTTCTCTTGTGGTTTATCTGTTTATATTAATTTGTAAAATATTATCTGAAAAATGTGATGACACTAACCCAAATTTATATCTAAGCATGAATAGAATATGTTGATTATATATGAATATATTGACATTAACTTAGTAAACATTTAATTGCATTTAAGGTTTTTAGTAAATGTTCAGCATGGGTAAATTTATCTTGTAAACTAGTCTTAATTTGTGTTTTTTTTTTATGTGAAGAGAATTTAATATGGATTTGTGGATACTTTCCCACATAATATTTGTGGGTACTTGCCCACACAGTATTTGTGGGTACTTGCCCATATAATATTTGTGGGTACTTGCCCACATAATATTAGCATTCATAAGATAACTGTGGATAAAGGAAAAATTTTTAAATTATCTTGTGGCACCATAGATATTATTTTGTAGATAGATTTTGTAGACAGATTTTATGTTGTAGAGTTCCCCTATATTTTTTGAAGTGTTGGTGTTAAAGGTATTTATATGGGTTTTCCAAAATATGCATTTGTCAGTTCTTTCAATGTTTATACTGACTATTTATATATGAGGGAAGTATATTTAAGTTTTGTTGTATATAGATGTATATAAGTATATTTTTTGTTTTTTAAAATGAAACAATTGTATAAAGTTTTTTCACTATTTCGTGATTGCTTGTTTACTTTCAACCAGATGTTCGGATTTTTAAACTCATTGTTCATACATTCAAAAAATTGGTGTTGACATCGAAGAATGAAAAAAGTTAGTGTTTTTTGTAAACAATATTACATCAAACTTTTTTTGAGGCTTTAACAAAACCATTAATATATAACAGAAAAAGTCCAAAAATGAAACCGCGAGAAACACAACACATTCTACTTTTACTAATTTTGGAGATTTATCTTTATCCGAAATAAAACATTGTTGTCTGTTACAAAGGTAGTTCTTAAACCAATCAAGAGTGATGTTTTTTATCCCATAGCTTTCCATTTTTTAAAGTAAAATGTTATAGTTACAGTGTTAAACACTTTTGACAGGTCATTCTTAATACAAATTTTTATATTTTAGACTAATTAATTAGTTTTAAAATATCGTGTTTAGTTGCTCTTGGAGGCTAAACTGTTATTTATTGACAATTTTATTTTCAGTTAAATACTTGCATAACCTGCTATATATTACTCTATCAAGAATCTTAGAGATGGTAGGAAATACAGAGATTTGTAGTAATTTAATAAGTATAATTCATTGTTTTAAATACTTTGAGGTTATTTTTTGTCTATTGTAAAGATGTTTAATACTACATTACTTAAAATATTATCTAAACCTGAAGTTTGATTTAATTTTGAGGAGTGTTTTTGTTCCCAATTATTTCTTTTATGTTTCATATTTTTTTAATGCCACCAGCTGCATTTTTTATTTGTTTTAAATAAGTTTTTTTGAAAAGAAAATTTTTGTAAGTAGTGAAGTTTTTATTTATTTTATTCCTTAAGAATTTGATGTAAAAAAAAGTTTTTGCTTTTTTTGAAATTTTTTTTATGCCACTAGTGATCCATGAACATTGTAAATATTTTGATTTTATTTGCTGGTCTATAACTAGGAAGTGATTATTATTGTGCTTTAAGAATACTGTTAAGACTCATTATAGGTGTGTCAAGGTTACATTTTTGATACACTTTTTCCGCCTGCTGAAAGTTTTTAAATTGTTGGAAATTTATTAATCGTTTATGGATGTTGATTTTAGATTTACTAGTTTTAGTATCTTGGAAAAGTGAAAAGTATATTGGAAAGTGATTGGATATATCTATCTTGTTTATTACCGCTTTTAGTGATGAATTGTTAATTAAATTAGTCAATTTATTGTCTATTACACTGATTAAATTTGATGTTACTTATTTCAATTTGTTTATTAATGGGAAAATATAATGTTGGAACATGTTGTCAAAAAAAATCATGGTATCAGAATCTTTATTGAACTGTAAACAATTTAGGTTTATATCACCTTTTTACTTGTAGAGTGAAACTTCATGCAAAATAGCCCACAACTAAAATATTGTTTTTTTCAAGAAACATTTTAGATATTGATCTGAAATTTCCAAAAAATGCTTTTCTCATACATTTGTACAAAATCAAACAGTTTCACCAAAATCTAGATGTTCCATGGAAGATGTTCCTCATAAGGAACCTCATAAAAATTTGCTTTATTTGACATGGAACGACCCTATTATCCCAAAATCTTGCTTTGCAAAAAAACAAACTAGAACAATAGTTAGGATGATTAACTTGGTCTGGATTTCTTTCTGCAATAATATAGATAATAGAGAATAATATTTTGTGCTCTTTGTTGTTTTTTAGAAAAATTTGTTTTAATTAATTAGAAAATTTTATTATATCACCCTCAGGTGGTCTATAGCAGTAGGCACCAAAATATTTTTAAATTTTGGATTTAGTACTTTAATTGTAAAAACCTCACCATCGGCATGGGAGCTCAAAAGATTGTCTCTAAATTTAGGTGTTAGATCATTTAGAATAAAGGTTATAATTTACAGTTTTGAAGTTTTTTTCTGTAAGTTTGTAATTTGGGATTTAAAGAATTGAATTCTTGATAATTTTTTAGAAGTTTTTGTTATGAAAAATCATGATGAATGAATTTTATTGTTGATTAAACTTCTTATATTGAATAAATAAAATATATATTATATATAAAATATAAATAAAATATATAAAATTAATAGGATAAATCATTAAAAGAAATTTGACTTTGGAAAGTGATAATTTGTTGCTCCTGAATAATATGAAGTAGATTGGAAAAAAATGTTTCAATTCCTTTAAGTTTCTTTCTTTGTCAAGAGGGGCCTTAAATCACCAAATTTGTATATTTTAAATAAAGAATTTTTATAAATAAAAGTATTAATTTAGATTTTGGGTGTTAACTCTGGAATACTTACCAGCTGCACGAAGATCTTTTGCTTTGGCAAAAAAACCTTCAACCCTACTGTTTTCTTCAACCTTATTTAATTATTTACAATTGAACAGATATAGAAAGAGTGATATATAAATAGAAGGAGTTTTAGTAATGAAGCTAGTAGTCATTTTTAACAATAGATATCAGAATGAATGTAAGCCAAACTGTCTATCAACACAAAATATTGCAATAAAAACAGTACACAATGACAAACAATAACACCAGTGGAGTAGGCAGGATTTTTGTTGTTTCAGATATATGAAATTTAAAACCTGAAATCTTTGTTAACTTATTGGCTGTGCATTCTGGGTAAGAAAAGCAAACTTATTCTAAACATATCCTAAGCTCCAACAGCATTCTTTTTTTTTGTAAAATATTTTATTTTGATAAACATGAACTTAAGTTTGGTTGAAAGTGTCATCTGAAGCATCAAAAAATCCTTTCTACGCTACTGAATAACGCATAGTATAAGATTTTTGTTAATCAGTAACAACATATATTAATAATAATATCAAATATATTAATAATCAACGTAAAGTTTTTAAATTTAAAAAACTTAAAAACTTTTTGTTGATTATGGAGAAAAAGCAGAAAGTGTAATACTATTTAATGTGTAGACTGAACTTTTTTTCATTTTTTTTACAAAAACCACTCATTAGTGAAAAAATGCTTTTTTACCATTCCAAGAAATAATGCAAAAGGTATTATCAATTTCTCAAGTCCATTATTCTCAGAATAAATCTAAACTTTTTATATTATTACAAAAATTAGGTTCTAAAGGTTTTTTAGGTCTAAAAGTTTTTGGAAAATCTTTAGTGTCATTAACAAAGGTAAGTTGAACATCTTAGCTGCATTCCAGCTACATCTCAGCTACATCCCAGCTACATAAGTCTGATTTTATTACATCTATTAACCTTTAATATACTTTTTATGATTTTATTACATCTATTACTTTTTCTATTTGGTGGTGTACCAAGGTAGTACACCACCAAATATTTTTTTTACTTCAAAAAAAAAAGTGAATTTTTGATATCTGAAGTTGAACTTTTGAACAACTTGTGGACAACCTTGTGCACAGTCTTCCAAAAGTGTTTTTCTTTAACACTCTCTAAAATGTGTAACAAATGTATTAAACCTTATTTTTCTTAAAAAATTAAAAAGTTGTATCTGTTGTTCCAACTTTAAAAATATCTTGAAGATCTTTTTGATATCATTAACTCCCAGTCCCCCAACCTTCTTATTTTCAGTAGCATAGTTAAAAATCTTCTAATATTTCATCAATAGTCTAACAAACTCTCTAACACTTAACAGAAATTCTTCTTGTTCTTGGTGGTTTTTTATTTGCAGTTTATTTGTAATTATGCATTTTATTTGTAATCATGCTATTGTATGATTCTATTATGTGTTATATGGAATCGCTTAGGTAAAGGCTCTTGACATATCTAAGGTTTTTCATAAAATCTGGCATACTTCTAACCATGTGCAAAATAGCTGCACATGGTTAGAATTTTTATTATTTGTTGGACCTGGAAAAGACCTGTATTCTCCACTTTTTACAACTGATTCCATTCTTCAGCTCATCTCAAATCTCATAGTTTGCATTGTATGGAATCTACTTTTTACTACTGATTCCATTCTTCAGCTCATCTCAAATCTCATAGTTTGCATTGTATGGAATCCACTTTTTACTACTGATTCCATTCTTCAGCTCATCTCAAATCTCATAGTTTGCATTGTATGGAATCCACTTTTTACTACTGATTCCATTCTTCAGCTCATCTCAAATCTCATAGTTTGCATTGCATGGAATCCACTTTTTACTACTGATTCCATTCTTCAGCTCATCTCAAATCTCATAGTTTGCATTGTATGGAATCCACTTTTTACTACTGATTCCATTCTTCAGCTCATCTCAAATCTCATAGTTTGCATTGTATGGAATCCACTTTTTACTACTGATTCCATTCTTCAGCTCATCTCAAATCTCATAGTTTGCATTGTATGGAATCCACTTTTTACTACTTATTCCATTCTTCAGCTCATCTCAAATCTCATAGTTTGCATTGTATGGAATCCACTTTTTACTACTGATTCCATTCTTCAGCTCATCTCAAATCTCATAGTTTGCATTGTATGGAATCCACTTTTTACTACTGATTCCATTCTTCAGCTCATCTCAAATCTCATAGTTTGCATTGTATGGAATCCACTTTTTACTACTGATTCCATTCTTTACCTTATTAAATGTCATAGTTCGCATTGTATGGAATACTGTTGTCATATTTGGGTTAGTTCTTCTAATAAAAAAGGCATTACAAATGAAGTTTTTTTTTTTCTTTTTTCAACATCTTCACTTCCAACTAGGCTGCAAGCAACCACTATTAGAGTTAGAAGCTACTGGAAGAGAAAAGATGAAGTTTTTAAAGCAAGATAACGATTAACAGACGACTTAAAAGATTGCAAATTATATGAATCAGGCAACAAGATAAAGAGGGCAAACTCCAAAGAACTGAAGTTCAAGGAAAAAAACTAGGCAATAAGAATTTTTAGAGCACTAGGAACAATCACAGTAAAAGGATGAAACTTCATGAATAGTTGTTGTTTGCAATGTAGAAAGATTGCTTGCATCCTTGTTGAATATAAGTTTGTTTACACAAAAAACAAAAAAATATTTTATTTACAACTTAACAGTAAACTGCTTTTTTTTTAAGTCTTCAAAGCTAAATAATAGTTTATAGATATTAAAAGTTAAAATATTATTACCATTATTTTCATTAAAATAACTTAAAGTTCAAATAAATTATAAATTAATATATTAAAAATTTAAACAATCTATTAAAACATTCATGCAAAAAAAACTTTTATTACCTGTTTTATAGAACATAGCATTAGCAACCATTGATGTCATTAATAATGACATACATGTGGCTAGACGTTGACATCTAGTAAAAGTGCTATGACAAGGTCTTGTAAATATTGATAACCAAATATGTCCATCATAAAAGTTCTTTATCATAGTTACAAAAAAAAGATAATTAAATTCTGTAATATCTTCTTGGGATGATGGTTGAATTTTTCTTATAATAGCGCCATCTTCTTCAGTGACATCTAACCATTGATTACAAATAAAATTAGTTAGCGTTTGTGTTTGCATGTCACGAACCTAAAGAAAGATAAACTTTAATTATCACTAAAATACTAGTGTTTTAGTGATAATTAAAGTTATTTCATGTTAATATAAAATACATTTTATTGTCAAAATAATTGCATCTGACTATAACTTTTGTATCAAAATATTTAAATTTTATTATAGTAGAAATAGCAATTGTATGATTGTTGAAAAAAGTTATAAACTTGTAAAACTAGAGACCTTAGCTCATTGGAGTTTTTATGGTATTTGTGAAATAAAGAAAGGAACAATGTAAGTAAAGGTTTAATGCTGGCTACAGTCATTTAAATTACCATCTATAGCGTCTTTACTTTTATATGTCTAAGTTTATTCTCTATTTTTTTGCAAAAGAACTATGGCATTGTTAAAAGATCCAAAATATGACAAAAGTTCAGCATTCAAGGATGTAGTTGATACCTCAAAACAAAAAAGCAAAAAAGTGATTTATACAAAAACAAGTTTAAAATGAAAAACCTCAAGAAAATAATGAAAAAATGAAGAGAAGTCATCAGCTGCTGATTTTGTAACTAAATGAAGAGAAGTCATCAGCTGCTGATTTTGTAACTAAATGAAGAGAAGTCATCAGCTGCTGATTTTGTAACTAAATGAAGAGAAGTCATCAGCTGCTGATTTTGTAACTAAATGAAAAGAAGTCATCAGCTGCTGATTTTGTAACTAAATGAAAAGAAGTCATCAGCTGCTGATTTTGTAACTAAATGAAGAGAAGTCATCAGCTGCTGATTTTGTAACTAAATGAAGAGAAGTCATCAGCTGCTGATTTTGTAACTAAATGGGTGATTTCCAAGAATTATTAATAAAAAAAGATTATTGAAAAGACATTAAATATTGCCTACCATATGTGGCCATAAGAATAATTCTTATGACCATAAAAATATTTCTGATGACCATAAGAATATTTCTGATGACAATAAAAAGAAATCTGTGAGAGAAAAATTGTTTTACTTAAGTTTAAATTCTAAAAAAGTTTAAAAAAAATAAAGAATTTTCAAATTCTAAAAAACACTAAACAACTAAAGAATATTTGTTAATTAGCAACAAGTAGAATTAATTAAAAAAAAAACTTGTTAAATATTACTTTTTTATAGTTAAATATACAAATGTGATTTGATTAGAAACCTGATTTTTTTATCAATTTTTTATTGTTTTATAATATTTAATTATTTTGATTATCAATTTCTATTAAATTTTGATTTGTATCAAAAGAATAAGAAAACCATGGAAGAAAGACATGAATTAAAACTGACAAGAAGTAATAAAAAAGTTTTCCTGAATCTAAAAAAATTGCAGATTTTTAGCACAAATCATGAACATAGTATAAAAAACAAGTGCCGAAAAAAAAAAAATTTTAGTTTGACTTTACTATTCTACCAATTCTATTATTATACCCCCTTAATTAAAAATTATTCTACAAAGGTTACCCCCAAACACTTTTATCCTTTTGGTTTTTACCAATATAAATAATAAATAGATATATCAGAGAATTTTAAATAAAATGAAATATGTCTAAAAACCTAAAAATGAATAAGGGAAAACTGAGAACAGCGATACAAGCTATTTTATGAGAACGACTAGATATATGTTAAAGAAACGCAACTTGATATATGTTAGAGAAATGCAACTAGATATATGTTAGAGAAACACAAATAATAGAGCTCGAGTGATTGAATAGTTTTAAGTCATGGGTTAAATTTTAGTAAGAATACTGACATCCTGGGTCAAATGGCCTGGCTGGGTAAAGCCTAAAGGTTTAAGCCATAAAGTCACTATGGGTCATTTTTAAGAGTCACTTCATTTATTACCATAGACTTAAAAGTTGCCCAAAATCAAGAATATTAGCAATAGAATAAAGAAAACATTCGTCAACAACATCCAAAAGAAAGTTGTTGTCTAAAATTCAGAAGATTCTAATTCACAAAGACAACAGAAAACCCAAAAATAGGACCAACCATCTTAATTAGTAATGAAGTAATGTAGGAAAAGATAAAAAATATTTAAAACCTGAACACTTAGAAGAAACCATCCTGGAGAGTCTCCACCATTATTATGCCATATTGCCACTTCTTTTAGGTCACCAATATCAGCTGGTAATGCTATGATAAAAATATCAGTTTCTGATTTTTGAAAACATTTTCGATTAGGACTGTACAATTTTCTTGGTCCTGATTCTCCTCTGCTTCCTATAAAACAAGTTTTAAATAACTTTAGATGTTCATTTTGATGTTAAGGAAAAAAATAATTTTTATAGTTAAAAGGAAGAATATATATTTCTCACTGTTTTCTTTGAAACAAAACAAAAAAATTATTAATTAATGCTTCAAATAGTAAATTTTTTGTTTGTTTATCTTTTTTTTTTTTTTTTTTTTTTAACTTTATTCACCTCCTCAAGGCCGAGAAGGCCACTACAGACGAGGAGGCTACTTAATAGTGGTTATAACCCTCTCTCAACTCTATAACTCCGAAACACGAACCTTGACGAACAAGGCCGCTGCGTGGAGAAACAAGTTGAGCGCGGTACTACCAGGGACGTGGTGGGGATCAATCTCGAAACCTCTCGCTTATGAAGCGAGTGTTTTACCACTACACCACTGCCGCATAAAACAAATTTTCATAAAACAAAGAAAATTGTGTAATACTAATAAATATTACACTGAATAACAACCCAAAAAAATCTTGTTTGATGATTACATTTTCTAAAGCAGTTTTTCATGCTGATTACAAATCTGAAAACTGTTTTTCTCTATCACGTCAGGTTTTTAAGATATTAACATAAACATACATTTTTTAATCCCTTATTGTTACGAATGAATAAGAAAATAGAGTTTAGTTTACTAAGTTAATAACAGATGGCAACACTAAACATATTCTTTTGATATTTTAAATTGATATATTCTGTTTTGAAAATAGGTCTTTAGTGTACTTAATTTGTAACTGTATGTTTATTAATGAGTTGTGTGTTTATTATGAGTTATACTATTCCTATATATTTGCTATTTTTTTTCAGTGAAAACAATGGCGTCTAGAGGCTGCATCAATTCACCAGACTTGTTTTGTTATGTGTGCGGCTATCTCACAGACAAAGGCCACTGAAAGACATTTACACCATTTCTGAGAAAAGCTTATGAACTATACTTTGATTCAAAGGTTGACAGCGGCAAGTCATGGGCACCACAGTTCATTTGTTTGACATGTGCATGCAACTTACGGGGTTGGATAAGGAATGCTAAAAATAACAACCATCTGGCATTTGGAGTTCCTATGATATGGCGTGAGTCAAGCAACCACATCACTGACTGTTATTTCTGTTTGACAAATGTCACAGGTTTCTCATACAAGACTCGTTCATCTGTGAAGTATCCAGATATTCCCTCGGTTTCAAAACCAATTCCACATGATCCAGTCAGTTGTCCAATACCAACATCACTTACAGAATACAGAGTCGATGATGCAACACAAGAAGAAAGTTCGTCTTCCAGCAACATGGCAGACTCTGACTACAATCCTGATGATGATGAAATTCATTTGATTAATAATGATGATCTTTGCGACCTTGTACCGGACCTGGCACTAACAAAAGGTCAAGCTGAACTGCTAGGTTCACGTCTGAAAGAGTTTAATTTGCTATCACCAGGTACAAGAACTTCACAATTTCGACATAGACACAAAGAACTCGTGCAGTTCTTTGCAATGAGTGACAATATGTGCTACTGCACTGACATCCAAGGTCTTATGTCAAGCCTCGGTGTAGAACATAAGACTGAAGCATGGCGTCTATTTATTGATTCCTCCAAGGCAAGTTTGAAGGCTGTATTATTACACAATGGAAACATGTATGCATCAGTACCGGTTGGTTATTCTACTCATCTAAAAGAGACGTACGAAACCATGTCGCTACTTCTTGAAAAAATTTGCTATCGCGATTACAATTGGAATATGTGTGGTGATTTAAAAGTGATCACTATTCTCATGGGAATGCAGACAGGGTACACCAAGTACTGCTGCTTTATCTGCGAGTAGGACAGCAGAGATAGGAAGCACCACTATATAAATAAGAATTGGCCCATTAGAGATAAAATGGAGCCAGGTAGTAAAAACGTCCTGCATGTGCCATTGGTTGAGCGTGAAAAAGTTCTTATGCCTCCACTTCATATAAAGCTGGGGCTCATGAAAAACTTCGTGAAGGCATTAGACAAAAACTCAGATGCTTTTCGGTACCTATGCAACAAGTTTCCAGAGTTGAGTTATGCGAAAGTGAAAGAAGGTGTATTCATAGGTCCACAAATAAAGAAGATCATAGCAGACAGTCACTTCGAAGATTTACTCAGCAGAACTGAAAAAAAAGCATGGTTGGCATTTAAGTCTGTTGTAGCCAATTTCCTTGGAAATAATAAATCTCCTGACTATGTAAATATTGTGCAGAAGTGCATTAGTGCGTACAAGTTAATGGGTTGTAACATGTCCTTCAAGATTCATCTCCTCGACTCACATCTCGACTTCTTTCCAGAAAACCTAGGTTCTGTTAGTGATGAACATGGTGAACGTTTCCATCAGGACATCTCGGTGATGGAGTCACGCTATCAAGGCCGATGGAGTGCAGCAATGTTAGCCAACTATTGCTGGATGCTTCAGCGCAACATGCCAAATTGTCAGCACAAACGCAAGTCTACAGCCAAGAAATTCAAACCAAACTAACTTTTAATTTAAGGAACTTTACGTTATACCTATGTATTTTACAAGTGTATTATATTTTAAACTATGTGTATTTATGTTAAGTAGTACTCTATTCAGCGATATATGCTCTACTGTAACTTGCCTGCGAGTTGTTTGCTTTGATACAATATTAAACATATATAAATGGTCAATGCCAAATAACTCAACAATGGTAGGTGATAGAGACAAACGGTTTCTATATTTGTAATCAGCATGTCTTACTTGTCTTAAAACAAGTGTTGGTTTCCAAGATATTTTCCGAAATTTTTTTTTTGTTATTCAGTGTTATTGATAAACAATTATTTTGATTAATTTTTATTCTAAAATTTAGGAAATAACACAAAATTTTAAAAATTATTTTTTTAGTTGTTTTGGTTCCTTTTTCTGTTTTTTGGTTTAATGACCTAGATAAAACGGAAAAATTTTCTGCTTTATAAAATCAAATATTTCTTTTTGGCTCAATAAATATACTGCTTATAAATATTACTTTTAAACATTAAATTTTTTCTATAAAAAATAACAGGAAATTTAATTTTCTCATTTAATTTATCTACAAACATTTATGTTCCAATAACCATATATATTTTAAAATAAAGTTTTTAAATGATTGCACTCATAACAATTTTTTTTTTTATGTTAACTCACCACCCTAAGACAAAAACTCACCTCCCTAAGACAAACACTCAACTCCCTACGACAAAAAAGGCCACTACAGACAACAAGGCTGCTTAATTGTGGTTATAACCTTCTCTCAAATCTGCAACTTTAAAACACAAACCTCACAAACAAGGCCACTGCGCAGAGAAAAACAAGTTGAATGCAGTACTTCCAGGGACCGGGTGGGTATTGTTTATAAAACAAGTGCTCTACCACTACACCACTACCGAATTTCTTGTAAATATGTTGCAAAAACATGCCCATTTATTGTGGTGTTGTGAGACCTAAAACCCAAAATTTGGTTTTCTATATTACCACCCAAATTTTGACTTCAGGGCGATGTTTTACAGTTGGAAGCATATATTGGAACAAGGGGGAAATGTTTTATCTTAGCAAAGTGGACATCTACCATTTGTAGAGCTACAACTAAACTATTTGATTTGTGGCCAAGTTATGGTCTAGTTATGCAATCGTTTGGTAGTTTACAATTTATCTGGAAAGTATACACAATAAAAATACAAAATTAAACAATTTTATAAAATTTTTGAAATTATTGATGGTCAATTAAAGTTTTAAATTTAGTTCTACAGTTTTCTAACAAAAAAAAAACAACAAACAAACACCTGTTATCAATATTGCTACATCTGCAGTTGTTGAGCAACCCTTTTTAAATCCTGTATCTACAATAATTTCATATAAGTATTTATCATTAGGGTGGTTTTCAGGTAGATAAATCACCTCGCTCTAAAATTAAAATATAATCTACAACTAATAATAACAACAATTCCACAATTGTACAATTGTACAACTATGTAACAACAACAATAAGGAATTAATAAAAAATAGTAGAACAACAATGTTTTGATTATAAAATAAACCACAAATAAATATTAAAAGCTATGTAAGCAAAATACAAACAGTAATGCTAAAAATTCTGAAAGATCAAACACTAGAGTGAATTTTTTAAACTCTTTTAATTTAAATTATATTAAATTATACTAAACTAAATTATATTAAATTATACTTAAATAAATTATATTAAATTATACTAAATTAAATTATACTTAATTAAATTAAAACTAGATTTTTTTTGTGCTAAAAATTGTAATTTTTTGTAACTATTGATTAAACAAATTAAAAGTTAAAAAAAAAAAAAAAATAGTAATGCATTTACAAATTCTGTTGAAGCCTCAATATAAATTAAAAAAAAAAAAAAATTTCAGGTTAATAAAAAAATTTAAAAAACTTTAAATCTTTTTATTTTAAAATCAGAACAATTTTACCTTTTCAAGATCACCTTTATCCTTTTTTCTTGCCCATACAAGTAATAACAAATATAAACCTATTATTGCCATAACAACTGAAAAAACAGTTGGATTGCTTGCTAAATCAAACCTTTTAAGAGCACCAAAATCAGGTGGTTGAGCATTCGAAAATGGACCACCGCCTCCAAAATCAGTCAAATGATCACAATGGCATACAGTTTGATAATTATTTGTTTCATATTCATCAGTCTAGTAAATACATTATATTGTATATATAATTATATTTATATCTTACAGTTTGATAACTATTGGTTTTATATTCTTCAATATAATAAATATAACACTATATTTTAATATTTCAAATTTATACTTTTTATACTGAGGATGTTTTTGTATGATAATTGAGAAGTTTACCATCGCATTGTGGGATTGAATGCTTTTTAAAGTGTTTTAAGTGTTAAGTGATTTGTCAAGTTTGCCAAAAAAATTTTTAAACTGCCACACTTTAATATCAATAAAAAGTTATTACTTAAAAATATTCTTCTTACGGTTTTTAATTTTAATTTAATCTTAAATATTTTAATCTTTTGTACTTAACATCTTTTATGATAAAATTTTTTTTTTTTTACCTCACATCCTTCTGTGTTCCATGTGTTAAGAGGCTTATCCCAATACATGCATGCACGAGTATATGCTTGAAAAAAATATCCTACAGCTGAACAATTATCTTCACTAGGAGTAGATGAAGCTGGCAACAACAATTTAGTGAGAGGATGTGTGTTGTTGTAGTAGATGACTCCTATGCACCAACTAAATAAAAACCTTGTTTATATCAATATTCTGGAGATAACGTGAGAATATTCTGGAGACAACGTGAGAATTTTTAGAACTTTTTATATACATACACTTTTTAAAATAATTATAATAAATTATAATAATTATTAATAACGTTGAACTATATACATCTCACTTATAAAGCAATAATCATTAGAAAAGCTTAGCAAATAATTTGTTAATTGAATAAAAAGCATTGTTTTTTAAAAGCTATGCTTCAAAGCTAGCTTAACTTAATATTAAAAAAAAAAATCAAAACTTTTTTTTCAAAAAGTTTTGATTCTTTTTGACTTTAAGTATAATAAAAATAGCGATTACAATAACATATTAAAAGTTTTGATTCTTTTTGACTTTAAATATAATAATAATAGCAATTACAATAACATATTAAAAGTTTTGATTCTTTTTGACTTTAAATATAATAAAAATAGCGATTACAATAACATATTAAAAGTTTTGATTCTTTTTGACTTTAAGTATAATAAAAATAGCGATTACAATAACATATTAAAAGTTTTGATTCTTTTTGACTTTAAGTATAATAAAAATAGCGATTACAATAACATATTAAAAGTTTTGATTCTTTTTGACTTTAAATATAATAAAAATAGCAATTACAATAACATATTAAAAGTTTTGATTCTTTTTGACTTTAAGTATAATAAAAATAGCGATTACAATAACATATTAAAAGTTTTGATTCTTTTTGACTTTAAGTATAATAATAATAGCAATTACAATAACATATTAAAAGTTTTGATTCTTTTTGACTTTAAATATAATAAAAATAGCGATTACAATAACATATTAAAAGTTTTGATTCTTTTTGACTTTAAGTATAATAAAAATAGCAATTACAATAACATATTAAAAGTTTTGATTCTTTTTGACTTTAAATATAATAAAAATAGCGATTACAATAACATATTAAAAGTTTTGATTCTTTTTGACTTTAAGTATAATAATAATAGCAATTACAATAACATATTAAAAGTTTTGATTCTTTTTGACTTTAAATATAATAAAAATAGCGATTACAATAACATATTAAAAGTTTTATTAAGATCTTATTTTATTAGATCTAGTTTTATTATCTTTTTATTTTATATCTAGTTACTAAATCTAGTTATTTTTAAACTTCAATGTCTTTAATGTTTAAAAAAATACATAGTAAATGTAACTTATTCATTAAACTTAATTCTTTAAAATCAAACTTAATGGATAAAAAAACTAAATATATATTTGAAAATACAATATGCTTTTAATCAAAAAATTATAACATTTTTAAAATTACATTTAACATAATTATCTATTCTTTAATTTTCTTTAAATTAAAATGCATCTTTAAAATCAATTTAAAAATTATTAACCTTTAGTAAAAGTTAAATGAATAATTTGCAAATATTTAAATCAAAATTTTAAAACAAAATAATAACAAATATGTTGATTAAATGCTTACGTTTGTTATTTGAATACATGACATAACACTATTTTGTTAACTTTAAAAATACTACACGATTTAACATTATGTAAATATATTATGTTATGTAAATATTGATTAAAAATTGTTTGAAATATTTAAACATTTATTTTCTAATTATATAAAACATTAATAACTAATAAAAAAAATTTACTAAAATATAGTTAATTACCTTTAAATAATTATTTACAAATAGCGTGGTAATTACAACAAAACTATTTATTAAATATAAAAGTTAAATAATTTTTTTATCGTAACTAAAGTAACTTGGTTACGTCCACTGGTAGATTCATGTATTCAAAAAAAAAGCGGTAACCCCAAATAAACTCTGGGTTCGTCACTGAATATGTTCATATAATACAAACATATAAAACATGTATAAAACACATAAACACATAACATACATATCACACATAATAAATCATATCTAATTTTTATTGAGCTTACATTCCAACAGCTGTTTTGTTTAGATCGTTTTCACTGAAATAACAAGTCCATTTTTTTTGGCTCTCCCAATAACTTTGTTTTTCTTTTGACAAACTGTACCAATCTTCTGGATAAGGATTTGGAAGAGTGCAATTCTGCTGGTTATCAGACAAAGACGGAAATCTTCCTATATATGCAATATATAGGAAGATTTTATATGACTTTATATAACATATATACTATATATACTATGAGAATACTTAGTTAATAATATTAATAATAATAATAATATTAATAATAATAACAATAATAATAATAACAATCATAAAAATAATAATAATAATAAGACAAAGATTCTAACCTTTATTCATAAATGTAAAGAAAAATCCAGTAAAATTTTCATCTGTTGGTTTAATGTTAAGTACAATAATAGAAGAATTGACAGTGGACTCAACTTGATGAATATTGCGCAAAAGCTCACAGTAAGCAGTAAAGTTCTTCATTGGAGGCGGAACTTCGTCATTTTCAAGAACTAACTTTATTTTTTCTGTAAGGTTTTTAAGCTGTTTTTGAGACCCATCAGGTTTTGTGAGAGCCATACCTTTAACTTTTCCTTTTACATTTTTTGAAGCTTTATCAAATTGATAACGATTTGAACCGACACTGTTCTATATTAAAAAAAATCTTTCCTGAAAAACTTATCTAAACAAAGATTTTTGAAAACTGTATATTTGTTATGAATTTTCTAATAACTTATTTTGAAAACATTTTAATTAAAAACAACACAGTAATAAACATCAGTTGGAAACTTTAAAAATTTGCATAAAAGTTTCAAAAAGCCATTCAAAAATATTTTTTACATTCAAAACTTTAAATACTATACTAGCTGATTGGACTTGTAAAAAAACGCGTCTTCGAAGTTTATTTCACAATTTTTCTATATTTCTTCCTTATATATGTAATGTAGTATATTGTAGCTGTCCAGACCCATTTAATAAGAATCTTTTCCAAACAAAATATTTCTATTCTATCCATTCCACATCAATCATTTTTTTTTTTATTTACTTCAATACTTTTTAAAAACGGTAGAATAATAAAATTATAAATTTATTTTTAAATCTCTATGTAATGTTGCTATGCAATATAGTTGCTATGCAATATAGTTGCTATGCAATATAGTTGCTATGCAATATAGTTGCTATGCAATATAGTTGCTATGCAATATAGTTGCACTTATTTAAAATATCCGCTTAAAAAGTGTCAATCATTTTAATCAGTATAAAATAGTTATAAAATAGTCAAATTGAAAAAAACCCTTTCTGATTTTTGTATTTTAAGTATTATTTTTTTAAAATTAGCATTCTGAGTTATCTAGTTGATTCAATTTTATTCTAAAACATTGAGTTAAACATTATTGATTTTTAAAGTTAAAATGGTGGGACCCAAAATCAGAAAAAAAGATTGGAAAAAAATTAAATAAAATAAATAGCTAAATTTGACAATATGAGTAATTTTTAAATTTGGTTATGAAAATAAAAAAAAAGCTAGTTGCCATTTATTTGTAAACATTAAAGTGTAGTCTTAAGGAGGATAACATTTTTAAGCTGCATTCATTATTAAAAATTCTGATTTGTACACAGGAATATTGTTACATGTATACTACTAGGTTAAGCAGTATACATGTAGGATGTTTGAAAAGAGAAAAATACTTAAAATTTCAATAATGGGCATGCTGGCTTTAAAATTAATTTGAAAAGATAATACTTTGGGGCTATCTATAAAGTACATATGCAAGCATGGGGAGGAGGGTTTCCCAAAAGCGTACGAATTGCAAAATCAGTTATAATTACTACCAGGTCAGTTATAATAACTGTCTGGTAAGTTATAATTAATACTTGATTTATAGTTACTACTTGGTCATTTATAATTACTGCCTACTCAATTATAGTTATTACCAGGTCATTATTTAACTACGCATTTTTAAAATTTACTATTACCTGCCTACTCAATTATAATTATTACCTGGTCATTTATTCAACTATGCATTATTCAACAAGCATTAATAAAATATTAATTTTTTTTGATTTATAAAATCTTTTCTTTGGTCTTGAGACTGCAATAAAGTTTCAGTTTAAAGCAAAGTAGAACTTGTAAGAAGTATTTATAAAATATTTCAAGTTGTATGTTGTATCATTAAGGTCAGATCAGGTGTATGGTCTTCATGATCATCCTGCTACTGGTAACATTTAACCCAGTGCAACCTGTTTCATGCCCTGCTGCCTTGTGGAATTTGCTTTCTAAGCAAAGACTGGAAAGAGTTTGCTTCTGGTCAGTACTATATTAAAATTGGTCATGTCTATAGTAATATATAATATATAATAATTTTTTTTTCTTTTTTTTTTCTTTTTTTTGTTTGTGTCTCTTATATAGTTGGAGGTTACCTTATGGAGGTTGGAGGGGCCTTATTTACTATTTTAGCTCACCTTAAGCTCACTATACTTTATATGTATGTTTGTGTTCTGCCTAAACCTCTGGGGCGGAGTTGACTGACCCATAAGTTGCTATCTGTACGTTTGTGTTCTGTTTGAAACTCTGTCGCAGTGTTCACTCACCCGTAGATTGCAATCTGTATGTTTGTGTTCTGTCTGTTTATGTTTATATCTATGTTTGTGTTCTGTCAGAACCTCTGGCCCAGTGTTTACTCAATCAAGTTTTACTTTATATATGTATGTGTTCTAATTAAATGTTCTATTTAAATGTTTAAATCTATTTTGATGAAGTGTGAGCTCATTAACTAGACACTCCAACTATTAGGCCTAGGCCCACTCTTATCTTCAGTATTTTGTTGGGTGTAATATTTCCAAAATATCATACCCAGTGTTTTAAGGTGCTGTTTGCAGGAAGTAGCTCCTTTTAATTAATCTAGGTCAGATCAGGTTCAGGATCATCACAATCACCCTGCTAATGATATTATGTAACCCAGTACTACCTGCCCCATGCCTGCTGCCTTGTAGAATGTGCTTTTTTAGGCTTTTTTTTTAATCTCCTGCCTTGGGGCTATTGATTGAGTAAAGGCAAGAGGCGGTGTCAGTTTAATGGTTCTGAGGCTGGCTGGTAGTAAAATTTCCCAAACTCTGTGGTAGCTCTCAGAGAGGCTATCAGAGTATTAACAGTGTCATGTCAGTGTCAGAGTATTAACAGTGTCATGTATTAGCTATCAGAGTATTAACAGTGTCATGTTGCGTATGGATGGTATCCTTGTTAATGCTTTTGGTGTGCATTGTCCAGGCCACATAAGGAGCCCTATGTTACAGCTTTAATTTAGTCGTAACTACAATTTTAATTAAGTCTTAACATAAGGGCTAAGAAAATTACACAGTTCATTGCTTGGGAGGCTGTGCTCTATCAATGAATGAGTCAAGCTCTCTTTAAATTTAAATTATGCCAAAAGTAAAAAAAACACTTGGCATAAAAAACCATCCCCACTACCTAACTGTTTTAATATATCTTTTACTAATATTCATGGTTTGCAAAGCAAACTTCCATCAGTTGAATTTTACCCCTCACAAATTTCACCAGACTTGCTTTCTCTTAGTGGAACTAATTTTAATTCTGCTATTCCTTCTTCTGATCTTAGTGTTAATGAGTACTATCCTTTGACTCACAAAGACTCCAATGGTCACATGCTTGGCTTAAGGGTATACAAACACAAAAACTCACTTAATTGCTATGAAATCAGTTCAAATCCTTTGACAATTCCCTTATGTGCTTCTGCTTAGCACCTCTTCACTCTATCACTTTTATTATTTTTGATCTTTATCATTCTCCTTTTCCCCAAAACTGCACTCTTTTAATTATAATTTCTGATCAAATTGACCATGCTCTCTCTCTCTACCCCTCTGCCAATACTGTTGTTATTGGTGACTTTAATGCTCATCAAACTAAATGGCTTGGCTCTAATGCCACTGACCCTGCTGGCATTAAAGCCTATAACTTCTGTATTTATCAATCTCTTACTCAGATAGATAACTTTGTGACTTGCTTTCCTGACAACCCTAATCATTTACCTTCACTCCTTGATATATGCTTGATCTCTGATCCTAGCTTGTGTTTAGTTTCTCCTTTTTCTCCCTTGGTGGTTTTGACCATGCAATGATCTTTTTAAATCTTTCATCTTGTACTTCATTTATGGACTCTATAATCACACCACTTACTTCTATCCTAATGACTGGGACTCTTTTCTTGATTTTCTTCGTGATGGTCCTTGGGCTGATGTCTTTTACCTCTCAGCTGATAAATGCGCCTCCTATGTAACCTGGATTCAGGCAGGAACGGATGCTTTTATTCATTCTCGTCGGTTCCAAGTCAAGCCTCATTCTAGCCCATTGTTTTCACCCTCTTGTGCAGCTGCTATATCTAATCGAAATCATTTTTTTCATCTTTTTAAAAAAACAACTTTCTTGAGAACAAACAGCTATTTGTTATTGCAAGAAATCAATGTAAAAAGGTGCTGTCAGATGCTAGGCTCCATTATTCTTAATTCACAAACTCGTATTTTATCTCAGAAGTTAGGTTCTAGAGGCTTTTGAAAAATCTTCAATATCGTCGTTAACAAAGGAAGGTCTAACATTCCATTTCTCAATCATGGGACTGATCTCAATCATGGGACCGATTCTATTCTTTTATTCTAGTAACTTCCAACATAATAGTGGTTAATTGCAGCCTTGTTGGGAGTGAATTAGAATAAAAATAAATAAAATAGTATATATACATACAATATATCAAGTTGTATGGTGTATCAACTTGTATAGTGTATCAAGCCATATGATGTCGCCTAATAATATCTTTCAGTATAACTATTCATTTGGAGACTTTTCATTGAAAGAGTCAAATTTTTCAAATTTTAAACATTAAAAATTTAAACTTTAATCATATATTTATAAGTTGGGTAAGTTTGAGAAAAAAATCCTTGTAAAATTAGATGTTTTTTTAAAAAATATTCTGCATAGACTTTTTAAAACAGCAGACCCATAGTATCTCAATCAAAATATTCATTTTGGGAATAATGAATATATATATATATACTATATATATACTATATATAAACTCAACAAAAGTGTACTTATTTTTCTTTCTATAGGAACCATTACAATAATAATAAGCCTATAAGATATCAAGGTGGGAGTGGGTAAACCCAAAAAGCTTAAAATTAGAAGTAAATGTCCATGAAATCCTCCGAAAAAAAGCATCTTCAGCAAGTCATCTAATTATTCCATATACGTATTATTATATATTTATTTCATCGATAGGTGTTTAACTGTATATATTGTTGTAAAAATGGAGGAGTATGCTCAAACATTACAGGGTGCAGCTGCAATTCAGTATGTTTCAAAGTTACAGCTTGTTAGTGGGTTAGACCCGTATAAATTGAAATTTAGCGAATGTGATGCAAATCCTATATTACTTCCTTCCGTGGAGTATCCAGACATTGTAAACTATTGCGTCTACACAAAAAGTGCTTTATACAATGGATGAATTAAAATTTTATAAATCTCTAGATGCATACCACCAGTTCGTCAGTGGTTTCTGATTTGGCAAGTTATGTTGTGAGTAACCGAGTCATTGTAAAAGCCAAGGTAAGAATTAGCAAAAACAACAATTAAAGTATGCACATATGCTTAGCAGGTATTGTATGCCTACAATTAATTTATTTTTGAATGAGCCTAAATATATGAGTTGTTGCAACATACAAGAAAATTAATAAGGATTATCAATATTACAGAAATATTTATATTGTACCTTATTATGTTCCTTATAAATTAAACTTAAAAAAAAAAAAAAAGTTGCTTTCTAAAAGTATTTAAAAGTCCTGCTACATATTACATTTGAAATTGAATATTTATATATATATATATATATATATATATATATATATATATATATATATATATATATATATATATATATATATATATATATATACATATACATATATATATATATATATATATATATATATATATACATATATATATATATATATATACATATATATATATATACATATATATATATATATATATATATATATATATATATATATATATATATATAATATATATATATATATATATATATATATATATATATATATATATATATATGTATACATATATGTATATATATATATACATATATATATATATATATATGTATATATATATATATATATATATATATATATATATATATATATATATATATATATATATATATATATATATATATGTATATATATATATATATATGTATATATATATATTTATACATATATCTATATATATACTCAAACTTATATTATATTATATATACAGCAAACTTATGTCATATGTTTCTTACTACTTATGTCATATGAAGCTGTTTCTTGTATTTAACAATTGGAAATAAATGAAATAAATGTTTCTTAAATTAATCAACTGAAGCTGAGCATTCTAATTTCATCAAAATTTTTGTTTCTGCATTAATGATATATATATATATATATATATATATATATGCAAATATTAGATGATGATATGTAAAAAATAAATAATAAAAAATAAATTATGGTATTATTTGCTGATAATGAAACAATATTTATAAAAAGAAAAAACTTTTTGATTGCTTTAGCAGATGATTTTAAATGTAATCTTTTGTGATGTGTGCCTGGGCCTAACATACCTTTTTATATACACCAGCCTGGGGAACATTGAACCTGGGCTTCACATTAGCTGTTAAATTTCAACTTAAATAAAATTTTAGTTATTTTTTTGGCAAACCATTATCAATAATCAATTATTATTATTTTTAAATATTTATTTTTAATATATTGAAAAAATAAAATTAATTAGCATTTAAGTAGAAAAGAGAAATAACTTTAATATTTATTTAAAAAAAAATTTTCTTACAGTAAAACAAACTATCCTCACCCTAACCATACAATAGGTATGCAGTAGGTATGCAGTAGGTATGCAGTAGGTATGCAGTAGGTATTCAGTAGGTATTCAGTAGGTATGCAGTAGGTATTCAGTAGGTATTCAGTAGGTATGCAGTAGGTATGCAGTAGGTATGCAGTAGGTATGCAGTAGGTATGCAGTAGGTATGCAGTAGGTATTCAGTAGGTATTCAGTAGGTATGCAGTAGGTATGCAGTAGGTATGCAGTAGGTATGCAGTAGGTATTCAGTAGGTATGCAGTAGGTATGCAGTAGGTATGCAGTAGGTATGCAGTAGGTATGCATATATACAGCCTTATTTCAATATCATGTATGTAAAAACAATGATACTTGGATAGAATTTAAAAATGAGGTCTGACCTCTTTTTTAAATTTTATCCAATTTTGACCATCTCTGAGCATTTCCTATTTGAGGCAATTTTTTTATTTAAATTTTGAAATTCTTCTATTTAAAGATTCCTAATAATAAAGAATAATCAGAACATATAACAATAATAAAGTACTTACAATAGCTCCACCACCACCTAAATCAGGTAAGCTGAAACCGCCAATTTTTTGAGCACCAGCATCTATTTGCAAAATATGTGTGTCACCAAAAGGTGTTTTAGAACTTGCAGCAGGTTCTCCAACAACAAGTGTTTTAACAATAGAAGAGAAGACGCGATCCTCAACTCTTAGTGCAAATGCCATAGTAGTTCGACCCTTAAATAAAGATCTTTTAAATAATTAATTAGTTTATTTCTTTTTCTCTTAAAAATATTCTTAAAATGCAAAACAATTTATTAGCATAAAGTTTTATCTAAGTTAATAAACAATAAACATAGATAATGATAAGGAAGACATTAAAATACTACCAGCTAACCCGTAAATTACAGGTCTTTACCAAACCCACTATTTCTATATTTAACTATTCTACACCAATCATTTCTATACATATTCTTTATTTAAATATTTTTTAGTAAAACAATTCATGTTGAAAAATTGCTTTAAGAGCAAAAAAATTAACTTGCCCACCTTTTCCGCATAGGTAGAGCTTATAAGAGTTTATGATTAGGTTTGTTTTTCTTCTAAACGCATATCAATGATAACTAAGTGATTTAGTGCACTGTCAGCAGTGTTGTTTTGGAAGGTTTAAGACATTTCCTTAGTGTAATAAATTTGTTCAATTTTTCTTATATATTTATAGCAAAAAATAATAATATAGTAAAAAAGATTTCCAATTGCTAAAACAAAAATTTAAAGTTTTCTCATTGTTTGTTCCATATACTGCTGATATACATGCAAAATCAACAAATGCTAATTACGTTTACACTTACAGACGATTGTGCGTAATGCTATAATTGTAATCTTAGGCCATTAAAAACTATAGATGCGGCCTCAGCTATAAATTGCTAATCTAAAAGTGAAGCCAGAAAATTATTAGCATTGACGTCAGTTAGTGGCAAATAAACTTTTACATGTCAAGTTTGCTTTTGCATTTATCTTATATTTTTTTATTAATTATAATTATGTTGCATACAATTGCACAAAAAGACATAAAACTCATACAGATAATTTCACAGCTTAGAGTTTGTATTTATTACAATAGTAATAAAGAAATAGTTTTAAAGAAATAAAATAGTACTATATTTAGTTTAGTACTATATTACTTTATTAGAATATATCTCATAAAAATATATTCTATATAAAAGAAATTTCCCTAAAAAATTTAAATAAAATTTTATTTACACTTAGATGAAACAATGTTTCGTATTTTTTTGATCTTGCAATTTTTTTTAAATACAATAACATAAATACAAAAATTCAAAACAAAACAGCTAGAGCAATAATGTCTTGTAATTATTAGAAAAGTTTTCTTATATTACACATGATCCTGTATAAAAGGTGGATTTATTATATTTACATATAAAAGATGTGTTTTATATATATTGTTTATATATAAGCTTTATTCATATGCAACAAAGCTGTGCTTACTTAGAGAACCCGCTTAAAAATTTTTACTTTACTAAGTTTCAGAACATATTTTTTCAGACTCATTTTTTTCTAGCTTATTAGGACTAATTACCTGAACATATTAATAACATAAGTATCTCAATCATGACATGTTCACAATAAATTTCTCTCGTTGTTTTGATGATTTTAGAATTTTTAGCTTTTTAACAAATTATTTTGTTTGTTATAGTGTATAATATCTTTACATATATTATCTATATATATTTACATATATTATGTATATATCTTTAAAATTTCTTTAAAAATATCTTTAAAATTTCTAAAGTGTTTCATTTTGTATCATCATTTTGTAACATCATTGGGAGTGATGGCATTTGCTTTGTACGTCGACCGGACGGAAAACGCCTCAATTTATGTTACTGGCATAGACTGTGAAGCATGGTGGAGGCAATGTAATGGTCTGGGGATGTTTTTCTGCTATCGGTCTAGGTCCAATACATCGAATCGATGGAATAATGGACCGTTTCATGTATAAAAATATCCTGAAAGATGTTATGTGACCTCATGCTGAATGAAATATGCCAATAAAATGGGTTTTTTAGACAAGGATCCGAAACACACTGCTAAAGTAGTCAAGCAGTGGTTTCAAGACAACCACCTATCGGTGATGGATTGGTTGCCTCAATCTCCAGATCTCAAACCTATCAAGAACCTGTGGGAGATCGTCAACCACAGAATTAATTGTGAAGGTGTTCGTAATAAGGATCAACTGCTTGAACAAATCTAAAAGGCCTGGGCAGTGATTCCACAAAGTTTCATTGATCACCTGATCAAATCTATGCCTCAAAAATGCAAGGCTGTGATCGATAAAAAAGGATTTGCCACGAAATACTGATAGCGAAATACAGCTTGGTCAACATTTTGTGAAGCTGCACTTGTTTTGTCCAGAAGGAAATCAACTTTTTTTAACACTTTTGATTAATTTATTAATTTTCGTGTACAAATAACGAACTTTGTGAAGAATAAAACTTGAAGAACGTAGTCTCTAAACAGTTACATAGTTGTGTCTCTAAACTGAAAAAATGCAGCACTTTTATATAAAGAAACTAAATTAGCATTATTTGGTTGCACTTGTTTTGTCCGATACTGTATGTATATATATATATATATATATATATATATATATATATATATATATATATATATATATACATATATATATATATATATATATATATATATATATATATATATATATATATATATATATATATATATATATATATATATATATATATATAGATAGATAGATAGATTTTTATTTGGTTGCACTTGTTTTGTCCGATACTGTATGTATATATATATATATATATATATATATACATATATATATATATATGTATATATATATATATATATATATATATATATATATATATATATATGTATATATATATATATATATATATATATATATATATATATATATATATATATATATATATATATATATAGAGAGAGAGAGAGAGAGAGAGAGAGAGAAGCAGGGCAAGATAGAAAACGTTTTGAAAGCCCTAAATTTTTAAATTGAAACCCTAATTTTTATTAATAAATCAACGGTAAAATAAGTTAATTATTGCTGTTATTTTTCTGTAAATGTAAAATACGTTTATTCTATGTATTCTACCAATATGTGACTATGTGAAATTTGGCAGTATGTTTGGGATCATTATCCTATTAAAAAATGCTGTTGCCCATATGTCCTAACTAATTGACTGAATCTCATTTTTAATTTCATTAAACTAACCTTAAGAAGTTTTCTAAGAATCAATAAACTGTACTTTATCTAAATCATCACATGATAAACAGCCCAAAACCATAACAAAGTCTCTGCCATATTTTACTGTAGGTTTTTGTACAATACTTTTATGTGCTTCTCAGATGGCATTATAAATCTCTAAAAAAAATGGGTTTTTTTACAGCCACTTTATTTAGCTTTATTTAATCTAAATTTGATTTTAGGTATCATCAATTGGTAAATTTTTTGATGAATTGGTAAAACTTCATTTAACAACAAAATAAATGTTCTTTTCTTTAATTCAGTCACAACTAATCAGTCTTGATAAGGCGTTTTCAGCCATTTTGTGGTGAAAAAAGCATGATTCCGGTCCTAAAAATATATTTTTTTATCACAAAAGAAATTATTTTTGTCAAACTACTTTCTGATCAGTCTGTAAAAACTCCGATAAACAAAAAATGATAATAAATTACTTTCCCACTTCGGATGTTACAGTATAACTAAGTAAAATGTTTTGACTTGTAGGCCATAGTAAAAGATATCATACTTTTATGGATGTTGTTGCCACCAACTTTAAAGATGGCAGCCTAATATTTGTGAAATATAAAACAAACAAAAACTATTAAAACATTTAAAAACTCAAAAGTTTCATTGCTTAAATAAACTTAATTTGAATCAGGCTGCAAAATGGTTATTCAAAAGCAGTTGGAAGAGTTAGCAAAAGGAATTTGGTGAGTAGGGATACCAATAATTTGTTCAGAATAAAAAAAATGTATAAGGAGAATCAACTCAAATGAGTTACAAATGAAATAAAATAGAGAGAGAGAGAAAGAAAGAAAGAAAGAAAGAGAGAGAGAAGGAAAAAGAGAAAAGCGAATAATATTATTATTTTCAGACTAACTGTATCCACAAAAGCATATCCTAAAAAACTGAAAAATAACAAAATTAAGTTAAAATAGTTTAGTTATTGAACAAACTTAATGTGAATGTTACGATACAAAATGTTTTAGGACTTTTGTTAAAAGGCTAACAATGGTAGTAATGCTCCATTTATAATAATGCTAAAGGACAAAGCTGAAAGAAATGCAATTTTGAGAAAACCTAAAAATTTAAGAGACTGTTTGAACAAATCTAAAAGGCTAACAACGGTAGTAATGCTCCATTTATAATAATGCTAAAGGACAAAGCTGAAAGAAATGCAATTTTGAGAAAACCTAAAAATTTAAGAGACTGAGAATACATTAAAACCCCAAACTGAAAAGTTTAATTTGAAACAAGATTACAGTGCCAGTGGGCCAGAATGGCAAATTTTGAGACAAACCTAATAATTAATTTATTATTAATGCTATATTCATCAAATTTGGCACAAGTACTAAGATGAGGTCTGGGCATTTTTTTGAAGGTATTTTTTTATTATTTGGTTGCTATGGATACCTTATTTTGCATAACAACAAGTTATTTTTGGGAGTTGCAGGTTTTTTATTTATCCTATTTTCACTATACTTGTTATGCGTATTTATATGAAGTCAATGATACTTAAGAAAGTAGTTTTTTATTTGGTTGCTATGGATACCTAATTTTGCATAGCAACAACCTTTTTATGCTAGTTGTAGTGTTTATTTGTACTGTGTACAGTATATTTGGTACTTATATTTCTTATGGTTTCTTAATTTTATTTTTTTTAATTGATTGCCACACTTGAAAAAAAACGGTTTTGTCCACTACCTAGGCCATTGTGCATTTATTCCTCTCTTACATTACCCAAATTTTCGAAAAACCTAGCTAAAGATCAAAACATGAAAACTATTATTTTTATCTTGTTATTTTGTAATAAGTCCTATTCATTTAATTCTTTAAGAAACATGCTCATAAATTTTAAAGTTATCTATACCGCCACAGTTAAACATCTGCTATTGAAAAGATATTTTTTTGTGGTTTTACAAACAATAAA